TATATATATATATATATATATATATATATATATATATATATATAGTATATGTACAGTAGCTTTCGTGCATTACTGCACTCTGTCACGATATCTAGCTTGCTATATTACATCTAATATGTATAATAATCGTACTATTTTTTTTAGTTATTGTTTTTGTTCCTTTCTTAAGCTGTATCAAATGTCACTAAATCGTCTAAAGTAGTAAAAAATAGAAAAAAAAAAAATAAAGTATTTTATTTTTAAAATTTGATAAAATATTACAATAATATTTGTGTATATAAAATGATAAAATATAGAAAAGAATAGTATCTATATAGTATTTCTTATAGGTTTGGTTTCAAAATCGGCGTGCAAAGTGGCGGAAACAAGAAAAAGTAGGACCACAAGGTCACCCATATAATCCTTATTTGAGTGGTACCGCGACTCAATCATCGACTGTAGTTACTCCAACGCTCCCACATCCTTTTGCCCATCTAGGAACATTTGCACTGCGAAAACCGTTTGAGGGATTTCGCTACACGCCGTTAGGACCCGGGCCTATTCTCAGTCCTAGTTATGGAATCGGTAGTGGAAGCGGTGGAATTAGTGGTGTTAGTGGTAGCAGTCATCCTTATCATCGTCCGCCTCCACCTATGCTTTCATCACCAAATATGCCGGGATTATCTTATTCAGCAACCGCCGCATCATTTCAAACTCTTTTGGCAAATATTTCCGCCACGCAACCGCCAAAAATTCCATTACCTGGATCATCTTCACCGCCACCAACATCATCATCTTCAAAAATATCCGCGTCATCTCCAACTGCATCAACTTCACCCACATTACCAATAATACCTTCAACGTCATCAGTGATAAGTTTGCCACCCCAATCTTCGACAAAATCACCTGTTTCTATTACAGAAACGAGATTACCTACAGAATCATTATCTAGCGAAACTGTTAAAAATATTCCAGCTGATATTGATAGACGGACTAATAGTATTGCATCATTAAGGTTGAAAGCACGAGAATTTGAATTACATTTAGAGATGCTAAGAAAAAATGGTGATTTAATTAGCTGAAAATAATAATAACAATAATACTAAAAAAGGATACATTATAAACAGATAATTGTATTTTTATCAAAACCTATATATACATTATAAAATACATTATTACTTATTGTATAATGTCTAGTGTAATAAAGATAATGTTTTCATAATGATATCACGGTATTAGACTATATTAAATCAGTTTTCAAAATAAAATCTTCAATTTTTAATGGTTAAATGTATAAAGCCTATCTTACTCGATATTAATAAACGATTTCAAAACATTGTTTTAATAAAGGAAATACTCAATTTTTAATTTTTTTATTGAAAATTTCAATATATATTATAAATATATATAGTTAATTGTATAAATAAAAGATAATATTAGTGATAACTTTTTAATACAGGCCATTTTTGATGCAAATAAATATTATTTTTTCTCTAACATAAGTTCTGCATTTTAAATAACATCAAACATCATACAGTATATCTGTGAAGCTAACTGTTGAATATAATAATATTTGATTAACAATTGATAAAAAAATAACTGTTCTTGTAAGATAATAATAAAAGTTTCACGGAGGACCAAGCTAAATAAAGAAACTATGCTAAATTTAAATCATCATTAGAAAACTTACAGCTACATTATATATATATATATATATATATATATATATATATATATATATATATATATATATATA